GGTCCTTGGATGACAGGGATGCACATTACGAGTGGTCCTCTTTTTACTGAAGCTGACATCCATACATTTTCACCCTTCACTGACATCCACTGGTTGTGTTCGGGAACTGTAGATGTTAAGTATATCAGTACAGGTTGTTTGTCCCAAGTAAATAATGAAAGATTAACGTGTCAAATGAATCTGATTACATGTATGCTTCGAAGCTCATATTCACAAACTATATTCAATCTTAATTCGCCATCTCAGTGTATATTCACCATCTCTATTCACCGTCTCCATTTACTTCTCTATTCACGTTCCCATTCACCATCTCAGTTCACTGTCTCACGTAGCAATGGGAACGAACCAGGATAGCTGGTGGTGAGATTAATCCAAGTAGCAAGTGGAACGAACTAGGGTATCTAGGGATGAGATTAATCCAGGTAGCAATGGGAACGAACTAGGGTATCTAGGAATCAGATTAATCCAGGTAGCAAGAGGAACGAACTAGGGTCTCTGATGAGATTAATCCAGGTATCAATGGGAACGAACTAGGGTATCTAGGGGTCAGATTAATCCAGGTAGCAATGGGAACGAACTAGGGTATCTAGGAGTCAGATTAATCCAGATAGCAATGAGAACGAACTTGGGTATCTAGGAGTCAGATTAATCCAGGTAGCAATGGGACCGAACTAGGGTATCTAGGGGTCAGATTAATCCAGGTAGCAAGTGGAACGAACTAGGGTATCTAGGGTTCAGGTTAATCCAGGTAGCAATGGGAACGAACTAGGGTATCTAGGAGTCGGATTAATCCCGGTAGCAAGTGGAACGAACTAGGGTATGTAGGGTTCAGGTTAATCCAGGTAGCAATGGGAACGAACTAGGGTATCTAGGAGTCAGATTAATCCAGGTAGCAATGAGGACGAACTAGGGTATCTAGGGGTCAGATTAATCCAGGTAGCAATGGGAACGAACTAGGATATGTAGGGATCAAATTAATCACGATAGCAATGGGAACGAACTAGGGTATCTAGGAGTCAGATTAATCCAGGTAGCAATGGGAACGAACTAGGGTATCTAGGGATGAGATTAATCCAGGTAGCAATGGGAACGAACTAGGGTATCTAGGAATCAGATTAATCCAGGTAGCAAGAGGAACGAACTAGGGTCTCTGATGAGATTAATCCAGGTAGCAATGGGAACGAACTAGGGTATCTAGGAGTCAGATTAATCCAGGTAGCAATGAGGACGAACTAGGGTATCTAGGGGTCAGATTAATCCAGGTAGCAATGGGAACGAACTAGGGTATCTAGGAGTCAGATTAATCCAGATAGCAATGAGAACGAACTTGGGTATCTAGGAGTCAGATTAATCCAGGTAGCAATGGGACCGAACTAGGGTATCTAGGGGTCAGATTAATCCAGGTAGCAAGTGGAACGAACTAGGGTATCTAGGGTTCAGGTTAATCCAGGTAGCAATGGGAACGAACTGGGGTATCTAGGAGTCGGATTAATCCAGGTAGCAATGGGAACGAACTAGGGTATCTAGGGTTCAGGTTAATCCAGGTAGCAATGGGAACGAACTAGGGTATCTAGGAGTCAGATTAATCCAGGTAGCAATGAGGACGAACTAAGGTATCTAGGGGTCAGATTAATCCAGGTAGCAATGGGAACGAACTAGGATATGTAGGGATCAAATTAATCACGATAGCAATGGGAACGAACTAGGGTATCTAGGAGTCAGATTAATCCAGGTAGCAATGGGAACGAACTAGGGTATCTAGGGGTCAGATTAATCCAGGTAGCAATGGGGATGAAACTAGGGTATCTAGGAGTCAGATTAATCTAGGTAGTAAGTGGAACGAACTAGGGTATCTAGGAGTCAGATTAATCCAAGTATCAATTGGGACGAACTAGGGTATCTAGGGGTGAGATTAATCCCGGTAGCAAGTGGAACGAACTAGGGTATCTAGGAGTCAGATTAATCCAGGTATCAATGGGGACGAACTAGGGTATCTAGGAGTCAGATTAATCCAGGTATCAATGGGAACGAACTAGGGTATCTAGGAGTCAGATAAATCCAGGTAGCAATTGAACGAACAAGGGTATCTAGGAGTCAGATTAATCCAGGTAGCAAATGGAACGAACTAGGGTATCTAGAGGTCAGATTAATCCAAGTAGCAATAGGAACGAACGAGGGTATCTAGGAGTCAGATTAATCCAGGTAGCAAGTGGAACGAACTAGAGTATCTAGGGATGAGATTAATCCAGCTAGCAAAGGGAACGAACTAGGGCATCTAGGAGTCAGATTAATCCAGGTATCAATGGGAACGAACTAGGGTATCTAGGGGTCAGATAAATCCAGGTAGCAATGGGGACGAACTAGGGTATCTAGGAGTCAGATTAATCCAGGTAGCAATGGGAACGAACTAGGATATCTACAGGCCAGATTAATCCAGGTAGCAAGTGGAACGAACTAGGGTATCTAGGGGTCAGATTAATCCAGGTAGCAATGGGACCGAACTAGGGTATCTAGGGGTCAGATTAATCCAGGTAGCAAGTGGAACGAACTAGGGTATCTAGGGTTCAGGCTAATCCAGGTAGCAATGGGAACGAACTGGGGTGCATCTAGGAGTTCTGTGGGTTAATCCAGGCAGCAATGGGAACGAACCAGTATCTAGGAGTCAGATTAATCCAGGTATGAAAATGGGAACGAACTTGGGTATCTAGGAGTCAGATTAATCCAGGTAGCAATGAGGACGAACTAGGGTATCTAGAGGCCGATTAATCCAGGCAGCAATGGGACCGAACTAGGGCATCTAGGGTCAGATTAATCCAGATATCAATGTGGGAACGAACTAGGTATCTGGAGTCAGATTAATCCTGAGTAGCAAATGGGAAGAACTAGGGTATCTAGGGTCAGATTAATCCAGGTAGCAATGGAAACGAACTAGGGTATCTAGGGTCAGATTAATCCAGATAGCAACGTGGGAAACGAACTAGGGTATCTAGGAGTCAGATTTTAATCCAGCGTAACATACCATGGGAACGAACTAGGGGTCGATTAATCTAGCAGCAGTTGTAGATGAACCAGGGCCATCTATGAGTCAGATTAACGAAAGTGCGCGGAACGAACTAGGGTATCTACGGGTCAGAATGAATCCAGGTAGCAATGTGGGGAAACGAACTAGGGTATCTAGAGAGTTAGATTAATCCCGGTAGCAAAGTGGAACGAACTAGGTATTCTTAGGAGCCAGATTAATCCTAGGTAATCACCTAAGGACGAACTAGGGTATCTAGGAGTCAGGATTAATCCAGGTAGCAAGCGGAAAACCGAACTCAGGGTATCTAGGACAAGATTAACAGCACTTCACCAATTAAACCAGGGTATTCGGTGAGCCGATTTTAACCAGTGCAGCAGTGCCGGGAACGAACCCAGGGTATCTAGAATGGAGCAAACTGCAGAAAATTTGAATTCAAACGGCGCACTTAGAGAGTTCATTTAATCCAAGTAGCAGTGGAAAGATTCCATGGTTATTGCGTAGCAAATGTGATAATACCCAGCGTGGCATCTGAAAGTTTTTAGGGCACGGAGAAAATTCAAGGTGTGTGAATTGTTCAGCGTAATGTGATCCCAGCGCGATCTTGACTGAGAACGAAAAGCCATAAGAGACCAAATTACGTGACTGAATATGAGCAACCCGTGTCGTCCATGGGCAGACGCAGCAGTTGGAGATGCTGGAGGTCGTTACCCTGCGTGATGCGGATCGTTAACACCCCTGTTGTCACTCACCAATGTTCCCATCAGCAAACAGCATCGTTGTCAATTTCACCAACGTTCCCACTGCAAACGGCATCGTCACCACCAATGCGTCCCCATCAGCGAAACGGCATCGTTGTCACTTTACCAACGTCCCCATCAGCCCAAACGGCATCGTTGTCACTCTTTACCAAATGTTCCCATCAGCAAACGGCATCGCTAATCACTTTACTCAATGTTCCCCATCAGTAAAACGGCATCAAGTTGTCACTTCACCCTCTTTGTCCCTTATCAGCAAACGGCATCAAGTTGTCACTTCACCCCTGCATCCCCATCAGCAAACGCAGCATCGTTGTCAACTTCTACCAATGTTCCCATCAGCAAACGGCATCGTTGTCACTTTACCAAATGTTCCCATCAGCAAACGGCATGCTGTTGTCACTACCAATGTTCCCATCAGCAAACGGTATCAAGGTCACTTCACCCCTTGTCCCCATTAGTAAAACGGCATCGCTGTCACTTCCACCTTGTCCCCATCAGCAAACGGCACGTTGTCACTTCACCCTTGTCCCCATCAGCAAACGGCATCGTTGGCTCACTTCTACTCAAGGTCCCTATGAGCAAAACGGCATCGTGCTGCCACTCACCCTTGTCCTAATCAACAGTAAACGGTACCGCCTTCACCACCCTTGTCCCCATCAGTAAACGGCATCGTTGTCACTTCCACCCCTTGTCCCCATCAGTAAACGGCATCGTTGTCACTTCACCAATGCCCCCATCAGTAAACCTGCACCGTTGTCATTTCACCTAATGGCCCTTATCAGCAAACGGGCATCGCTGTCACTTCGCCCCTTTGTCCCCATCAGTAAATCCGCATCAAGTTGCCACTTCACCCTTGTTCCCATCAGCAAATGGCATCGTTGTCACTTCCACCCTTGTCCCCATCAGCAAACCTCGGCATCGTTGTCATTTCCACCACGGTGGCCCTTATCAGCAAAACGGCATCGTTGTCACTTCTGACCAATGTCCCCCATCAGTAAACGGCATCGTTGTCACTTCCACCAATGTTCCCATCAGCAAACGGCATTGTTGTCACTTCACCCTTGTCCCCATCAGTAAACGGCATCGTTGTCACTTCACCTTTGTCCTTATCAGCAAACGGCATCGTTGTCACTTCACCCTTGTCCCCATCAGCAAACGGCATCAGTTGTCATTTCCTTTACCAATGTTCCTATCAGGCAAAACGCATAAGTTGTCAACTTCACCTCTTCCCCTGTGTTAGCTTCGACAGCCTGCCGTTAGTCATTACAGCATTTGCATAGATTGGAAGAAACGCCGCCTCTTCCTGAACATCATGTTTGTGGGAATAAAAGACACCTCCGGAACATCAGAACAATGAGCCTGTTCTTTCGTCTTTCGCTTACTGAAGTGATATACAACATATTACATAGCTCTTCATGCCAGACACATCAGTGATTGTCTATATAAAGTGTGATGCACTTGGTGCTTGTATTGTGTCAGTATAGACATTGGCGTAAGTTCTATGTAATGTTACTGTGCTTGTATTGTGTCTGTATAGATGATTATGTAAGGTTTTATGTAATGCACTGTGCTTAATATTTCTCAGGTCATGTATAGACATTAATGCATCAGGGCTGCATTGCGTGTAAATAGTCATGCGGTGCTATGTGACGACCAGTTTGTACGTCGTATAGACATTATGTAAGGTTCTTTTATGTGATGCACTGTGCTTCAGTATTGTGCTCAACGCTAATACGTGCGTCTGCGGATGCACCAGTTTATTGCAGTCCATATACCGCGTGCCTTTATGATGACCAGTCGGTACCAGTCCGGTACAGACATTTAAGTGGCGCTCTTTGCTGATGACCGTGCCGTATCGTCCATATGACACATTATGTAAGGTTTTATGTGATGCGACTGTGCTTGCATTGTGTCAGTATAGACATTATGTAAGGTTTTATGTTCATAACCTGTGCTTGTACTTTGTGGCGCCATATAGACATTACGGCGGTTGTAAGTGATTTTAACTGTTTGCATTGCGGTCTACAGACATTATGTGGCGCCCCACGGATGTACCCGCTTGTACCAGGTCTGTATAGACATTATGTAAGGTTTTATGTGATGCACTGCCAAATTGTACCAGGTCTATATAGACATTATGTAAGGTTTTATGTGAGCGCACTGTGCATTAAAGTCCATATGATTATGTAAGCGCCTATATAGCACCAGTTTGCACTATGTCCGTATAGATTATGTGACGCGCACCTGTGCTTGTATTTGTGTCTGGCATAATATCATGTGAGCGCCCTTATGATGCATCGCGCCTAGATTGTGCCCATAGACATTATGTGCTGGTTCTGCAAACGGCTTGTATTGTGGTCTCCATATTTTATGGTTCTACGCCCGTGTACCAGCAGCTTCTTATGCTGATACGCACCTGTGCTTGCGTTGTATTGTGATACTATGCTAGAGCATTATGTCAGAGCAGACATTATGGCCTTATATGACACTGTGCTTGTATTTCGTCAGGTCTATATAGACATTATGTAAGGTTTTACATGCAAATGCACTGTGGCTTTGTATTGTGTCTATATAGACATTATGCAAGGTTTCATATGTAATGCACTGGTGCTTGTATCTGTGTCTTATATAGACATTATGCTTGCACTTGTGTTTTATGTGATGCACTGTGCTTGTATTGTGTCTATATAGACATTATGTAAAGGTTTTATGTGATGCACTGTGCTTGTATTGTGTCTATATAGACATTATGTAAGGTTTCATGTGATGATGCACTGTGCTTTGTATTGTGTCTATATAGACATTATGTAAGGAGTTTTATGTGATGCACTGTGCTTGTATTGTGTCGAGAATTATAGACATTATGTAAGGTTTTATGATGCACTGTGGCTTATGCATTGTAGTCTATAGAGACATTTGGAGTTATGACGCACTGTGCCTTTGTATTGTGTCTATATAGACATTATGTAAGGTTTATGTGATGCACTGTGCTTGTATTGTGTGTCTATATAGACATTATGTAAGGTTTTATATGATACACTGTTTGGTATTGTGTCTATATAGACATTATGTATCGGTTTTATGTAATTGCACTGTGCTTGTATTGTGTCAATTATAGACATTATCTTGGGTTGTATGTGATACACTGTGCTTGTATTGTGTCTATATAGACATTATGTGGAGTTTTTATGTAATGCAACCTCGTGCTTGTATTGCGTCTATATAGACATTATGTAGGTTTTATGTGATACACTGTGCTTGCATGTGTGTCTATATGGGTGGCTATGTAGGTTTATGTAATGCACTGGTGCTTCGTGTGTGTCCTATAGAGAGACATTATGTAAGGTTGTATTGTGTCTATAAAGACATTATGTAAGGTTTTATGTGATGCACTGTGCTTGTATTGTGTCTATATAGACATTGTGTAAGGTTTTATGTAATGCACTGTGCTTGTATTGTGTCTATATAGACATTGTGTAAGGTTTTATGTAATGCACTGTGCTTGTATTGTGTCTATATAGACATTATGTAAGGTTTCATGTGATGCACTGTGCTTGTATTGTGTCTATATAGACATTATGTAAGGTTTTATGTGATGCACTGTGCTTGTATTGTGTCTATATAGACATTGTGTAAGGTTTTATGTAATGCACTGTGCTTGTATTGTGTCTATATAGACATTATGTAAGGTTTCATGTGATACACTGTGCTTGTATTGTGTCTATATAGACATTATGTAAGGTTTTATGTGATGCACTGTGCTTGTATTGTGTCTATATAGACATTATGTAAGGTTTTATGTGATACACTGTGCTTGTATTGTGTCTATATAGACATTATGTAAGGTTTTCATGTAATGCACTGTGCTTGTATTGTGTCTATATAGACATTATGTAAGGTTTTATGTGATGCACTGTGCTTGTATTGTGTCTATATAGACATTATGTAAGGTTTTATGTGATGCACTGTGCTTGTATTGTGTCTATATAGACATTATGTAAGGTTTTATGTGATGCACTGTGCTTGTATTGTGTCTATATAGACATTATGTAAGGTTTTATGTGATGCACTGTGCTTGTATTGTGTCTATATAGACATTATGTAAGGTTTTATGTGATGCACTGTGCTTGTATTGTGTCTATATAGACATTATGTAAGGTTTTATGTGATGCACTGTGCTTGTATTGTGTCTATATAGACATTATGTAAGGTTTTATGTGATGCACTGTGCTTGTATTGTGTCTATATAGACATTATGTAAGGTTTTATGTAATGCACTGTGCTTGTATTGTGTCTATATAGACATTGTGTAAGGTTTTATGTAATGCACTGTGCTTGTATTGTGTCTATATAGACATTATGTAAGGTTTCATGTGATGCACTGTGCTTGTATTGTGTCTATATAGACATTATGTAAGGTTTTATGTGATACACTGTGCTTGTATTGTGTCTATATAGACATTGTGTAAGGTTTTTATGTAATGCACTGTGCACTGTGCTTGTATTGTGTCTATATAGACATTATGTAAGGTTTCATGTGATACACTGTGCTTGTATTGTGTCTATATAGACATTATGTAAGGTTTTATGTGATGCACTGTGCTTGTATTGTGTCTATATAGACATTATGTAAGGTTTTATGTGATACACTGTGCTTGTATTGTGTCTATATAGACATTATGTAAGGTTTCATGTAATGCACTGTGCTTGTATTGTGTCTATATAGACATTATGTAAGGTTTTATGTGATACACGGTGCTTGTATTGTGTCTATATAGACATTATGTAAGGTTTATGGGATGCACTGTGCTTGTATTGTGTCTATATAGACATTATGTAAGGTTTTATGTGATGCACTGTGCTTGTATTGTGTCTATATAGACATTATGTAAGGTTTTATGTGATGCACTGTGCTTGTATTGTGTCTATATAGACATTATGTAAGGTTTTATGTGATGCACTGTGCACTGTGCTTGTATTGTGTCTATATAGACATTATGTAAGGTTTTATGTGATGCACTGTGCTTGTATTGTGTCTATATAGACATTATGTAAGGTTTTATGTGATGCACTGTGCTTGTATTGTGTCTGTATAGACATTATGTAAGGTTTATGTGATGCACTGTGCTTGTATTGTGTCTATATAGACATTATGTAAGGTTTTATGTGATGCACTGTGCTTGTATTGTGTCTGTATAGACATTATGTAAGGTTTCATGTGATGCACTGTGCTTGTATTGTGTCTATATAGACATTATGTAAGGTTTTATGTGATGCACTGTGCTTGTATTGTGTCTATATAGACATTATGTAAGGTTTTATGTAATGCACTGTGCTTGTATTGTGTCAGTGTAGACATTATGTAAGGTTTTATGTGATGCACTGTGCTTGTATTGTGTCTTTATAGACATTATGTAAGGTTTTATGTGATGCACTGTGCTTGTATTGTGTCTATATAGACATTATGTAAGGTTTTATGTGATGCACTGTGCTTGTATTGTGTCTATATAGACATTATGTAAGGTTTTATGTGATGCACTGTGCTTGTATTGTGTCTATATAGACATTATGTAAGGTTTTATGTGATGCACTGTGCTTGTATTGTGTCAGTATAGACATTATGTAAGGTTTTATGTGATGCACTGTGCTTGTATTGTGTCTATATAGACATTATGTAAGGTTTTATGTGATGCACTGTGCTTGTATTGTGTCTGTATAGACATTATGTAAGGTTTTATGTGATGCACTGTGCTTGTATTGTGTCTATATAGACATTATGTAAGGTTTCATGTGATGCACTGTGCTTGTATTGTGTCTGTATAGACATTATGTAAGGCTTCATGTAACGCAATGTGCTTGTATTGTGTCCATATAGACATTATGTAAGGTTTTATGTGATGCAATGTGCTTGTATTGTGTCTACGAGCGTCGGTCAAAAAGTAGTCAGCCTAATTATATTCTCGAAGTCCTATGTTTGAAAAGCTTCCATTTTAGTTTGTAGGAATCATTAGCAAAGTCGTATTCAAAATTTCACATATGTGGGTAATGTAATTAACAAGATATTAGTCATCACAACACATTGGGGTATAATATTACTAGAAAAAATGCAGAAAATGAAAAACGATCCGTCATTTAGTACCTCTTGGATAATGGTATGCCCTCAGATAATGTCATATAAAATATGTTAGTATAGTATTGGATGACTTCCCGTCATAATCAACATTCAAAGATTTGGATCGCTTGATTTATGTTTAGACAGGGCTGTTTTTTTTAAGGACACACCCATTTTAGTCTTTCAAAAACATTGTGTCCAGATATTCAAGCTGGCCCTGTTTACAATATACTGAGAGTTGACACTTGTGTGACCATTCAGTATTTACTTTGAACCTTTAGCATCATGTGTGAAAATGTGAGAACATTAGAATAAGTTGTGTCCTTATGAATTCGTCGTCTGAACGGGGGTGGGTAGTGTCTCCAAAACAAGTTGTTTCAGTAAATATGAAAGGGGACTCACTTTAACAAGCGATTGTACTTTCAAATTGCTTTTTTATCCACTTTAATATCTAAGTTTGATTCTAGCGGACGTCTACCTTTCTCAAACACACAAAATGTTTCTTGCATATTTTGTTACCTGAAGTTTGTGGTGCATTTATTGCAGATTTTGCGCTTTTGGGAGGTACCAAGATACATTTTCAAACAAAATGGGGATCGTAAGGCTGGAACGTAGCAAAACCAATTTGCTTGAGGTTGACAGATAATATGTAGAAAAATAAAACATAAAAACAGCTGCATTTGTATCATTTACTAGGTCAGGCTCACTACTTTCTTGACTGTCCCTCGTATATAGACATTATGTAAGGTTTTATGTGATGGATATTTCAGCAAGTGTTCGATTGAACGACATGCATTTGATGTATTCGACGAGCAAATAGTTTCATTTTTGCTTTGAAATATTTGGAAATCCTGCCACTGAATTCCTCATAAAGCGTCTTGTAAACTGCAATCAATGATGAGAACATGTTACAAGGGAGTAGCTTTAAGCAATCCCGGCCCGAACACAGTTCGAATCCGAGACATACGGGAATCCGTACATAGCATGCATTTTGTACTGAATTTACGTTTGTTTCGATGCACGATGCTTGCATTGTGTATAGAGTTTGAGTGAAGAACTGTTTACCTGTTGTTTTGACTGTTTTCACCTCATCAGAGGGATTACATCCATTACCAATGCCAGAGTTATCTCCCCACTTGAAGGACGATCCCGCACACCGGATGTTGTTTGCTATGACATTGACGGCATCCATCTCCACTACGATCGCATCCACCTCCACACCAAACTTGTCAGCTTCGATAACAGTCAGGGTCAAAGTATGGTCTCCAGCTTCAAGTTCCCTCCATTCTCCGACTTGACCTGATCTCAGAAATTCGTCCCAGTATGCACCCATATTGGATCTCTCCAGGGTTGTGACTCTGCCCCATTGCGATTCCGTCAAGCTGAATCGATATGACGTCCATTCCTCCATCGTTCGAATGGGTGAAATTATGGATGGAAACATTTGAGGATATTCTAAACAAAAGCTGATGTTGAGGTATTCCCAGCAAACATCCACACCACTCGGTTGCTGGAAGCATTAGCTCGATGGTGAATGCGGCATGGTGTCACGTGACTTGCCACCTCCTCTAGCTCAATGACAACTCCTGTGACGATGCAAGGCACACCCGAGCACCATCAACATCAGCCCGCTGTAGTTCATCGTGGAGATCAAAGTGACCATCTGAAGCAACAGTCACATACATGTGTAGGTCATACGTCACTAGCCTTCGTGCATGGCCGTCTCGCATAACAAACAGATCGAATTTCTGATATCTTTCAAATATCCAATGTGTGGATCATCCATGAAGGACTGAATGATCTCCAGACCACGAAGCCTACTGACACATGGTCATGGCATCACTGCTGAAGACAGCGGCAGTCATGTAACGCTGACACAATAGACATAGAATGCTGATATCGTCAAATATGTGATTGTGTAAATAAAAGGATGTCTCCACTTCAACATCCCCCAACATGTGTCCACTGTTATCCTGAACATACTCCCAGTCCTTGTGTGTGTGACGTCAGATCTCTTGTGCGGCCCCATTACTCTTGTTGGTAGTGTCGGATCACACTGTTAACTTGGCTGTATATACTATAACACCACGTAAGCATCTCACCTCCCTCACTCATATCTTAGCTGTATACACTATAACACCACGTACAGCATCTCACCTCTCACCTTCATATCTTAGCTGTATACACTATACTTCACCACACCTCCTACTATATCTTGTATACACAACATCTCACTCTCTCACTCACATCTTAGCTGTATATACTATAACACCACGTACAACATCCTCACCTCTCACTCACATCTTAGCTGTATATCTTACTATAACACCACGTGTCCCACTCCCCACTCATATCTTAGCTGTATACACTCTAACACCACGTACAGCATCTCACCTCTCACTCATATCTTAATGTATACACTATAACACCCACGTCACAGCATCTCACCTAACACCACTCAGCATCTCATATCTTAGCTGTATACACTATAACACCACGTACAGCATCTCACCTCTCACTCATATCTTAGCTGTATACACTATAACACATGTACGTACAACATCTAACACCTCTCACTCATATCTCTTAGCTGTATATACTATAACACCACGTACAGCATCTCACCTCTCATACATCTTAGCTGTATACGCCATAACACCACGTACAGCATCTCACCTCTCACTCATATCTTAGCTGTATACACTATAACACCACGTACAGCATCTCACCTCTCACTCTCATATCTTAGCTGTATATACTATAACACCACGTACACACATCTCACCATACACCTCACTCATATCTTAGCTGTATACACTATAACACCACGTACAACATCTCACCTCTCACTCATATCTTAGCTGTATACACTATAACACCACGTACAGCATCTCACCTCTCACTCATATCTTAGCTGTATACACTATAACACCACGTACAGCATCTCACCTCTCACTCATATCTTAGCTGTATATACTATAACACCACGTACAGCATCTCACCTCTCACTCATATCTTAGCTGTATACACTATAACACCACGTACAGCATCTCACCTCTCACTCATATCTTAGCTGTATACACTATAACACCACGTACAGCATCTCACCTCTCACTACTATGTAAACTGTGATTACACTTCACATCACCTGCATAGTAATGATACCACATGTCCGAATTCATAAAACTGTGTATTAGATCAGAATTTTTAATGTTGTACACATCTTTAATACGAGAAATTAGTACATAAAAATGGCAGCGAGTAGTAGGATTGGGCTGTAGTTCCAGGAATCTGTAAACACAAATATGTCAATACATTGTCAACAGTGTGCCGTCTACAGCAACGCTTCATCATTTGCACTACATACATGTGGCTTTCACACTTGTGACGTTGCTTTCACACACATGCATGTTGCTCTCACACCTGTGACGTTACTTTCCCAAACATGCATGCGGCTTTCACATTAATATTATGACGTTACTTTCACACACATGCCTGCGGCTTTCACATTAGTCACGTTACTTTCACACTCATGCCTGCGGCTTTCACATTAGTCACGTTACTTTCACACACATGCATGCATGTAGCTTTCACACTTTTGACGTTGCTTTCACACACATGCATGCAGCTATCACATTTGTGACGTTACGTTTTCACTAGAACATGTGGTAAATACCCATTTCATATTAATTTGAGACATATACATGCGGTAAATATCCCCTTTTGCAATACTGCCACACACAAGCATGCGGTAGATACCTTTGTGAGAAACATTTAACACACATGCATGCATGCCTTAAATACGAGTGTGAAGAAAAGTTCACACTCGTATATACCCTTTTGATGTTAACTTCACACATTGCTTCCTGTGAACATGCTTCTGCAATGGTTTCACACCAAGCATGCGGTAAATAGACATTTCATGCTACTTTCACACCAAGCATGCGGTACATAAACCTTTGATGCTACTTTCACACCAAGCCTGCGGTAAATACACCTTTGATGCTACTTTCACACCATTCATGCGGTAAATAAACCTTTGATGCTACTTTCACACCATGCATGCGGTAAATAAACCTTTGATGCTACTTTCACACCATTCATGCGGTAAATAAACCTTTGATGCTACTTTCACACCATGCATGCGGTAAATAAACCTTTGATGCTACTTTCACACCATTCATGCGGTAAATAAACCTTTGATGCTACTTTCACACCATTCATGCGGTAAATAAACCTTTGATGCTACTTTCACACACATGCATACGGTAAATAAACCTTTGATGCTTCTTTCACACCATGCATGCGGTAAATAAACCTTTGATGCTACTTTCACACCATGCATGCGGTAAATAAACCTTTGATGCTACTTTCACACCATGCATGCGGTAAATAAACCTTTGATGCTACTTTCACACCATGCATGCGGTAAATAAACCTTTGATGCTACTTTCACACCATGCATGCGGTAAATAAACCTTTGATGCTACTTTCACACCATGCATGCGGTAAATAAACCTTTGATGCTACTTTCACACCATGCATGCGGTAAATAAACCTTTGATGCTGCATGCGGTAAATAAACCTTGATGCACACCATTCATGCGGTAAATAAACCTTTGATGCTACTTTCACACCATGCATGCGGTAAATAAACCTTTGATGCTACTTTCACACCATGCATGCGGTAAATAAACCTTTGATGCTACTTTCACACCATGCATGCGGTAAATAAACCTTTGATGCTACTTTCACACCATGCATGCGGTAAATAAACCTTTGATGCTACTTTCACACCATGCATGCGGTAAATAAACCTTTGATGCTTCTTTCACACCATGCATGCGGTAAATAAACCTTTGATGCTTCTTTCACACCATGCATGCGGTAAATAAACCTTTGATGCTTCTTTCACACCATGCATGCGGTAAATAAACCTTTGATGCTACTTTCACACCATGCATTCGGTAAATAAACCTTTGATGCTACTTTCACACCATACATGCGGGGTAAACATGTCATGCTTTGTGTATCAACCTTGTCTATCGTCTTCAACAGTATCAGCCAACTGTACACTGCATACCTCACCAGTACAAATAGAACACAAATAGAACGCACATGAACTAGACAAAAGAGACAGAATGAATTAGACAAAACGAAATAAAATCGTAACATCGTATGTGCATTGAAAATTCTAATTAACAGCACGCTTGCAGTTACTTTTCATTACTTTTTGTTAAGGTAATTGTTATTCATTGTTTGGTTTAGACTGTTTTATCGAATCGTTTAGTCTTGCAAATGAATTGATGAAGGGACTCTATAATATTCTTATTTTCATTATTGGTAGTTGACGTTGTTCCGTATAACACAGTTTGGAGTCTGTGGCCATTTACATAACAGTATTCATTATTTCTAATGGCTGTATATAATTTACATGTAAAGAGATAATGAATAACATTTTCACTGTGGTATTCACAAGCTCATTCAGCATTAGTTGATACATATCTGTTGACTTTATCCGCATTTAGATCACTGCAGCCGAGCTTGAGACAACTGTGTACAATCTGACAAAATCGACTACCATAATTGAGTTCAAGAAAATTGTTGGATTTATAATTTATTAACAGATTTTTAAATTCACCAAATGTATTAGCATTCGCGACGTCGTCAGGCAACGAATTCCAAATTTTGTGTCCGGTAGGAATGATTTTTCATATGTTTTTGTCCTACAGTTTATTGTTTGTAACTTGGGATTGTTTCTGAGATTGTATTGATTATTGTCAAGACAGTTTTAGGTACAAGGTCACATAAGTAGCCTGGGACGAGAATGTTATTCATTTTGAAGTTTACCAAGTTGATGTCACGCCTCCTATCTTTTAATGGTTTCAATTTAGTTTCAAGATATAATTTGTCATGACTAGTTCCGCGACCCGAGCCGCATATGGTTTGCAGTGCATCTAAGTGTAACTGTCCAAGGAGGAGATCATTCGTACAGTTATCCCAAACATGACACGAATGACTTGTACATGGTCTCGAGCGTCAGCCTAGAAAGGTGATATGTGAAACCTCGAATACGGACTATGTCGGAAAGCACACGTAAAATCTCGAAGTACGGTACATCAAATGGTTTGATAGCGGTGTTCTCTTCCGAAACGTTGCACATATTGTAATAACGAAGTTGTATACCCGTATAATTATTTACCCCAGTTGTAATATAGCAGCTTATTTACGTATAACTACCACTCCCCCTACTTTCGTGTGATAAAGTTGTATACCCGTATAAGATTAATATGTCCCTTCTTGTAATAAAGGAGTTGTATATCCATAGAACTACACCTTTCGTGTAATAAAGGAGTTGTATATCCATAGAACTACACCTTTCGTGTAATAAAGAAGCTGTATATCCATAGAACTACACCTTTCGTGCAATAAAGAAGTTTTATAACAATAGAACTACACCTTTGTTCTAAAGTTGTACATCAATAGAATTACCCCCCTTGCTGTAATAAAGAAGTTGTATATTTGGGATATCCGTATAATAATCTCCCAGTTGCTGTAAGGGTCGAAATTGAGATTTTACTAGCTCTTCTCTCAGTGTCCCCTGTAAGGAGCTCTTCTCTCAGTGTCCCTGTAAGGAGCATTATGACTTGTTGGAAGTTACTCTAATTCTTTGGCATTCATTTTCATGTGGGTCTTGAAGAAGACATGTTGTTTTGAGATGTAAAAAAAATAAAGAATATGGGTCTAACAATTTTATTTATTTATTTATTTTTTTCATGTTTTTATTCCCAGAATTATGTTTACAGACTTTACCTCAGTAGTACAGTACAGTACATGTAGCGTCTTAGTATGCAAGTACAGTGTTTCTTTAATCTCATTGCCAAATAACATGCTGTTCACAAGCATGTAAAAACGGTAAAAAACTAAGCATGTATATGAAGTGTTACATGTTTACAGATATTACCTCAGTAGTACACAGTACAGTACAAATAGTTTCATTGTACACAAGTACAGTGTTTCCTTTGTCATTCACTCTAACATCATGCTGTTCACAAATATGCAAAATGGTCAAACTAAGCATGTACGCGAAGTATTACATGTTTACGGACTTTACCTCAATAGTACAGTACAGTACAGTACAGTACAGGTCGCCTCATAGTACACAAGTACAGTGTTTCCTTGATCATATTGTCCCATATCATGCTATTCCCAAATATGTAAAATGGTCAAACTAAGCATATATATATGAGTGTTACATGTTTACAGATTTTACTTCAGTAGTACAGTACAGGTCTAACAAAATGATATGTGTATATTTTCATTGTTAATATAATTTATCTTTGTGTTTGAGATATTGTAAGGCCTAAAATATTTCTATCATATATATTTGCCATGTTTTGTTGCAATGTTTTGATAAAGGTACTCCGTTAACATGCATTTGTTAAAGTTCTTCACTCAGTAAATTTAAAATATATTTATAAGGTTAGGGTGTAGGTTAATTTAGTTATTCTTTCTAATGTTTAAGGTTAATTTCTATATCATTTCCATATAATTTCCGAGCTGTTAAAGTAAATAAATGGCATCTAATTTTTTCCTTTGTTTGCATTTTATTGACTGTAATTTTCTTAGATATGTAATACTGTACCTATAGGGTGTGACAGTACTGTACTGTAGATATGTAATACTGTACCTATAGGGTGTGACAGTACTGTACTGTAGATATGTAATACTGTACCTATAGGGTGTGACAGTACTGTACTGTAGATATGTAATACTGTACCTATAGGGTGTGACAGTACTGTACTGCAGATATGTAATACTGTACCTATAGGGTGTGACAGTACTGTACTGTAGATATGTAATACTGTACCTATAGGGTGTGACAGTACTGTACTGTAGATATGTAATACTGTACCTATAGGGTGTGACAGTACTGTACTGCAGATATGTAATACTGTACCTATAGGGTGTGACAGTACTGTACTGTAGATATGTAATACTGTACCTATAGGGTGTGACAGTACTGTACTGTAGATATGTAATACTGTACCTATAGGGTGTGACAGTACTGTACTGTAGATACAATACTGTAGGTACTTATTACTGTTTTGTTTACAGTCAATCGTTTCATTCGTCTGTTATGGAGAGGATTTGTCATAAGAATTATGAAGTTGAATATGTACCTAATGAAATTTGACTATGAGAAGTGAAAACTTGAATATGAACTATGAATCTTGAGGACCATGGACATGAATTATGAGAATGAGAACTGACAGATGAGACATGAATTATGAGAATGAGAACTGACATATGAGACATGAATTATGAGAATGAGAACTGACATATGAGACATGAATTATGAGAATGAGAACTGACAGATGAGACATGAATTATGAGAATGAGAACTGACATATGAGACATGAATTATGAGAATGAGAACTGACATATAGAAGACATGGAATAAAGAAGCAGATGATGAGACGAATTTTCATTTTGTTTACTACAGTTGCAATAAAGGATCGGAGTTGCATATCCACAGAACTATCCCTTTTGTGACATTGAAGTTATGTGTCCATACAAACTATCCCTTGTGTAATATTGTAAATATATATCCACAGAACTATCCCTTTTGTGACATTGAAGTTATGTGTCCATACAAACTATCCATTTTGTTGTACTACAGTTGCAATAAAGGATCGGAGTTGCATATCCACAGAACTATCCCTTTTGTGACATTGAAGTTATGTGTCCATACAAACTATCCATTGTGTAATATTGTAAATATATGTCCATGGAACTAGACCTTTGTGGTAATAAAGACGTTGGATATCTGCATATTAACAATACCATTTAGAAAGTGATTACATGTAACACGTTTTGGATTTGTACAGCAATGTAGTTAATATATATATACAGTGTTACATTATTTACACACACGTACATCGTACTATATATACAAGTGTCACATTACTTACGCATACGGTCATCATAGTGTATATACAAGTTTCACATTACTTACACACAATTACATCGAACTGAGTATACAAGTGTCACGTTACTTACACACTCACACATCCTACTGTATATACAAGTGTCACGTTACTTACACACTCACACATCCTACTGTATATACAAGTGTCACGTTACTTACACACTCACACATCCTACTGTATATACAAGTGTCACGTTACTTACACACTCACACATCCTACTGTATATACAAGTGTCACGTTACTTACACACTCACACATCCTACTGTATATACAAGTGTCACGTTACTTACACACTCACACATCCTACTGTATATACAAGTGTCACGTTACTTACACACTCACACATCGTACTATATATACAAGTGTCACATTACTTACACACTCACACATCGCACTGTTTATACAAGTGTCACGTTACTTACACACTCACACATCCTACTGTATATACAAGTGTCACTATATTTACAAACGCACACATCGCACTGTTTATACATGTATCACGTTACTTACACACTCACACATCGTACTGTATATACAAGTGTCACATTAATTACACACACATCGTACTGTATATACAAGTGTCACATTACGTACACACGCACATATCGTACTGTATATGCAAGTGTCACGTTACTTACACACTCACACATCCTACTGTATATACAAGTGTCACGTTACTTACACACTCACACATCCTACTGTATATACTGTATACAATTGTCACTTTACTAACGCACGGTCAACCGAAGCACGCCATGTTACTTAGTCATACATTCACCATAGAGTTACGCGTTACTTGTACACGTTGATTATACGGTACATTCAAAGGCCAGGTGTAATGATACACTCACGTAGCATAACCTCGTTACTAAACATGTTGCTGTAGTATGTTATTTATATGAAGACAAGAGAAAAGCGTTACAGTTCAAGTGTCTAACCTTTGCCAAAGTAATGTTCGTCAAAAGTATTGATATCCGCTAGTCCAGGATCTCCAAATATATGCAGTCTACAGTCTAGGAGGTGGCAGTGTACAGGTTGACAGGGTTCTGTCCGTCGCATCCAATAGTCGCATCCAACAGTCGCATCCAACAGTCCAGTCACATCCAAGATCCCGGTACAGGTACTTCGGGCCGACATTTAACTGTTGTTGCCATGAAGTCCCTGTTGCTAGGAGACGCACCACAAAATTCCGTCATTGCACCGAAGCCGACTTCTATCGTATCCAACTCAACGCCATATTCGTCTGAATCGGTCACAGTTATAGACAGTGAATGTCTCCCCCCAGAGTACCCTCCCTTTCCAACATAGCCTGAATGGTGGAATACGTTCCAGAGATGGCCGTTCCCTGATTCGTCCGTTGTGTTGACTGTACCGATGACGTCAGAGTCAATGGTAACTGAGATGACGTCACTTCCACCATCATTGGAGTACACGAGGTCGTGTATTATAACGTCAACTGGAGATCGCAAACATAAATCTAAGGAGATAGCCTCGCCGGCAAAGAGTGAGATCGACTTAACATTAGTGACAGCGCGAGATCGCAGTCGGAGTCGACACTCAGGGACGTGGTTGGAAGCGGCTACCTGCTCCAGCGGTAACAACACGGTGGCGTTGCTGTCCCACAGCAGCGTGATGAAGAGTGCACAGAGCAAAACTGTCAACGACATCCTTGCTGCGAGCGTAGTGGTCTGCATGTGCAGCGTGGTGGACTGCCACTTGTGCCCGCCTGTCTCCTGACATTTGGATTTGACATTACACGGCTATTACACAACACACACACAAGGTGGGGCAGCTTGTTTAGGAGGAATGTGAAAGACGAGTAGGTGATGTGGATAGGAATGCAAACAAACTCGAGTAGATAGAGAGGACTGGATTGGAGGAAGGCTCGGGACTCGGGGCGGGATTCCGGCAGTAGTCTCATAATGCCACAACATACTATAGGGTATGATGTGCATATTACTGGAAGTCGTGACAGTACTGTATCACCACATCACAACACACTGTAGGGTGTGACAGTACTGTATCACGACATCACACCACACTGTAGGGTGTGTCAGTATTGTATCACCACATCACTACACACTATAGGGTGTGTCAGTACTGTATCACGACAACACAACACACTGTAGGGTGTGACAGTACTGTATCACCACATCACATTACACTATAGGGTGTGACAGTACTGTATCACCACATCACAACACACTGTAGGGTGTGACAGTACTGTATCACCACATCACAACACACTGTAGGGTGTGACAGTACTGTATCATCACATCACAACACACTGTAGGGTGTGGCAGTACTGTATCACCTCATCACAACACACTGTAGGGTGTGACAGTACTGTATCACCACATCACAACACACTGTAGGGTGTGACAGTACTGTATCAGCAAATCACAACACACTTTAGGGTGTGACAGTACTGTATCACCACATCACAACACACTGTAGGGTGTGACATTACTGTATCACCACATCACAACACACTGTAGGGTGTGACAGTACTGTATCACCACATCACAACACACTGTAGGGTGTGACAGTACTGTATCACCACATCACAACACACTGTAGGGTGTGACAGTACTGTATCACCACATCACAACACACTGTAGGGTGTGACAGTACTGTATCACCAAATCACAACACACTATAGGGTGTGACAGTATTGTATCACCACATCACAACACACTGTAGGGTGTGACAGTACTGTATCACCACATCACAACACACTATAGGGTGTGACAGTACTGTATTACCACATCACAACACAGTGTAGGGTGTGACAGTACTGTATCACCACATCACAACACACTGTAGGGTGTGACATTACTGTATCACCACATCACAACACACTGTAGCTGGTGACAGTACTGTATCACCACATCACAACACACTGTAGGGTGTGACAGTACTGTATCACCACATCACAACACACTGTAGGGTGTGACAGTACTGTATCACCACATCACAACACACTGTAGGGTGTGACAGTACTGTATCACCACATGATAACACACTGTAGGGTGTGACAGTACTGTATCACCACATGATAACACACTATAGGGTGTGACAGTATTGTATCACCACATCACAACACACTGTAGGGTGTGACAGTACTGTATCACCAAATCACAACACACTATAGGGTGTGACAGTACTGTATCACCACATCACAACACAGTGTAGGGTGTGACAGTACTGTATCACCACATCACAACACACTGTAGGGTGTGACATTACTGTATCACCACATCACAACACACTGTAGGTGGTGACAGTACTGTATCACCACATCACAACACACTGTAGGGTGTGACAGTACTGTATCACCACATCACAACACACTGTAGGGTGTGACAGTACTGTATCACCACATCACAACACACTGTAGGGTGTGACAGTACTGTATCACCACATGATAACACACTGTAGGGTGTGACAGTACTGTATCACCACATGATAACACACTGTAGGGTGTGACAGTACTGTATCACCACATGATAACACACTGTAGGTGGTGACAGTACTGTATCACCACATCACAACACACTGTAGGGTGTGACAGTACTGTATCACCACATGATAACACACTGTAGGGTGTGACAGTACTGTATCACCACATCACAACACAGTGTAGGGTGTGACAGTACTGTATCACCACATCACAACACACTGTAGGGTGTGACAGTACTGTATCACCACATGATAACACACTGTAGGGTGTGACAGTACTGTATCACCACATGATAACACACTATAGGGTGTGACAGTATTGTATCACCACATCACAACACACTGTAGGGTGTGACAGTACTGTATCACCAAATCACAACACACTATAGGGTGTGACAGTACTGTATCACCACATCACAACACAGTGTAGAGGTGTGACAGTACTGTATCACCACATCACAACACACTGTAGGGTGTGACATTACTGTATCACCACATCACAACACTGTAGGTGGTGACAGTACTGTATCACCACATCACAACACACTGTAGGGTGTGACAGTACTGTATCACCACATCACAACACACTGTAGGGTGTGACAGTACTGTATCACCACATCACAACACACTGTAGGGTGTGACAGTACTGTATCACCACATGATAACACACTGTAGGGTGTGACAGTACTGTATCACCACATCACAACATTACAGTGTAGGGTGTGACAGTACTGTATCACCACATCACAACACACTGTAGGGTGTGACAGTACTGTATCACCACATGATAACACACTGTAGGTGGTGACAGTACTGTATCACCAAATCACAACACACTGTAGGGTGTGACAGTACTGTATCACCACATGATAACACACTGTAGGGTGTGACAGTACTGTATCACCACATGATAACACACTGTAGGTGGTGACAGTACTGTATCACCAAATCACAACACACTGTAGGGTGTGACAGTACTGTATCACCACATGATAACACACTGTAGGGTGTGACAGTACTGTATCACCACATGATAACACACTATAGGGTGTGACAGTATTGTATCACCACATCACAACACACTGTAGGGTGTGACAGTACTGTATCACCAAATCACAACACACTATAGGGTGTGACAGTACTGTATCACCACATCACAACACAGTGTAGGGTGTGACAGTACTGTATCACCACATCACAACACACTGTAGGGTGTGACATTACTGTATCACCACATCACAACACACTGTAGGTGGTGACAGTACTGTATCACCACATCACAACACACTGTAGGGTGTGACAGTACTGTATCACCACATCACAACACACTGTAGGGTGTGACAGTACTGTATCACCACATCACAACACACTGTAGGGTGTGACAGTACTGTATCACCACATGATAACACACTGTAGGGTGTGACAGTACTGTATCACCACATCACAACACAGTGTAGGGTGTGACAGTACTGTATCACCACATCACAACACACTGTAGGGTGTGACAGTACTGTATCACCACATGATAACACACTGTAGGTGGTGACAGTACTGTATCACCAAATCACAACACACTGTAGGGTGTGACAGTACTGTATCACCACATGATAACACACTGTAGGGTGTGACAGTACTGTATCACCACATGATAACACACTGTAGGTGGTGACAGTACTGTATCACCAAATCACAACACACTGTAGGGTGTGACAGTACTGTATCACCACATGATAACACACTGTAGGGTGTGACAGTACTGTATCACCACATCACAACACACTGTAGGGTGTGACAGTACTGTATCACCACATGATAACACACTGTAGGGTGTGACAGTATTGTATCACCACATCACAACACACTGTAGGTGTGACAGTACTGTATCACCACATGATAACTTACACTGTAGGGTGTGACGGTACTGCATCACCACATCACAACACACTGTAGGGTGTGACAGTACTGTATCACCACATGATAACACACTGTAGGGTGTGACAGTACTGTATCACCCACATCACAACACACACTGTAGGGTGTGACAGTACTGTATCACCACATGATAACACACTGTAGGGTGTGACAGTACTGTATCACCACATGATAACACACTGTAGGGTGTGACAGTACTGTATTACCACATGATAACACACTGTAGGGTGTGACAGTACTGTATCACCACATGATAACACACTGTAGGGTGTGACAGTACTGTATTACCACATGATAACACACTGTAGGGTGTGACAGTACTGTATCACCACATGATAACACACTGTAGGGTGTGACAGTACTGTATCACCACATGATAACACACTGTAGGGTGTGACAGTACTGTATTACCACATGATAACACACTGTAGGGTGTGACAGTACTGTATCACCACATGATAACACACTGTAGGGTGTGACAGTACTGTATCACCACATGATAACACACTGTAGGGTGTGTGACAGTACTGTATCACCACATGATAACACACTGTAGGGTGTGACAGTACTGTATCACCACATGATAACACACTGTAGGGTGTGACAGTACTGTATCACCACATGATAACACACTGTAGGGTGTGACAGTACTGTATCACCACATGATAACACACTGTAGAGGGTGGTGACAGTACTGTATCACCACATGATAACACACTGTAGGGTGTGACAGTACTGTATCACCACATGATAACACACTGTAGGGTGTGACAGTACTGTATCACCACATGATAACACACTGTAGGTGGTGACAGTACTGTATCACCACATCACAACACACTGTAGGGTGTGACAGTACTGTATCACCACATGATAACACACTGTAGGGTGTGACAGTACTGTATCACCACATGATAACACACTGTAGGGTGTGACAGTACTGTATCACCACATGATAACACACTGTAGGGTGTGACAGTACTGTATCACCACATGATAACACACTGTAGGGTGTGACAGTACTGTATCACCACATGATAACACACTGTAGGGTGTGACAGTACTGTATCACCACATGATAACACACTGTAGGGTGTGACAGTACTGTATCACCACATGATAACACACTGTAGGGTGTGACAGTACTGTATCACCACATGATAACACACTGTAGGGTGTGACAGTACTGTATCACCACATGATAACACACTGTAGGGTGTGACAGTACTGTATCACCACATGATAACACACTGTAGGGTGTGACAGTACTGTATCACCACATGATA